ACCACCAATGAATGGTGCCTCCCACTCCCACCTCTCACCTCCGTCACAGAAGGATACCATGGTCGATGGTATTGAAGGCCACTGAGAGGTCAAGAAGCACAAGGATAGAGGAGTGACCCCTAACCCTGGCTCACCAGAGATCATGGATCAGCGCGACCAAAGCAGTTTCCATGCTGTAACCAGGCCTGAAACTGGACTGAAAGGAATCCAGATAATCGGTTTCATCCAAGGTCCGTCAGAGTTGAAAGGCCACCACTTTCTCAACAACCTTCCCAAAAAAGGGGAGGTTAGAGACTGGACGATAGTTACTCAAAATGGCTGGGTCCAGAGAAGGCTTCTTCAGGAGGGGTCTCACCACCGCATCCTTTAGAAGGTGTGGGAAGGAACCCTCCCGAAGAGAGGTGTTAACTATCGTCTGGAGCCAGCCACGTGTCACCTCTCTGCTGGTCGAGACTAGCCAGGAGGGGCACGGGTCCAGTATACAGGTGGAGGCACTCACCGCTCCCATGGCCTTGTCCAATTCCTAGGCTTTTACTTTTGTGGAAATAGAGGTATCAGATTCCATCAAACAGTCCAAGTCATACACGGATAAGACAGTCAGTCATCAATTTCTTTCAGTTAAGGGATAATAACATAGTCCAGTATCATACAATCAGTTCGGTACACAAAGTTTGCAAAACTTACAATAGCTCACGGCACTCAGATCAGATCAGCCCAGTATCTAACAAACAGAGAGAGAGAGAGCTAACAGTCGTTCTGGCTCCCTCTTATGGCCGATAAGGAAAACAGCAACCAATCACATTTTACATTTTACTGCTTTAAAGAAACAGTTACAACATTGTTACATGATTTATATATTGCCAACCCAACCGTTAGATTATGTTCCTAACATTGTTCATGGGGTCATGATGGGTCCAACACGATTTCGCAACTAACAACAACAACATTAGGAGATGAGCTCAAAAGTAATACTCAACTAGACTTACTGGGATGATTTGCAGGTGATGAATTTCATTTTCATGATTTCCTTTCTGCACACTGCTTGCCAGCATAATTAGTATTGCCTTAAAATACTGTCTTGAATTGTGGAAAGCATTATAAGGCAGTCTTGGAGTCCTTAAAAAAAAAGATACGAGAACAACAGGTAGTATTAAGAATGATTCTTTGTTGTTCCAAGGTTCTATGAGAAGGTCAGAATGCCAATAGTTATAGGCAAGAAAGTGATACTGCTATAGTCTTGAATGTTTTCTATTAATTCTTGAAAAAAAAAATCTCATTTTCCAGCCAGAGATATTTTTGAAAAAAGACTTTGAAACATCTGACAGTAACTGTCAGCCTCTGCTTTGCTGCTGCTTCGGCTGCCATTGAAACGGGGAGGGGGGGCATGGTATTTGGGAGGGGAATCATTGCTGTGCTGGAGGAAGCTTCTAGACGCTGAACTGACCACCTTACTGCACATGTGGAGGAAGAAAGTTTCCCGCCAAGGCCAACGGTCCAGCAATGGTCCAGCATTCCATCCTGGTGATGCCTTTTGAAGTTATCTCA